GGGGGCGCCGGCCCGGGGGCGCCCCCCAGCCGCAGCCACTGCTCGTGTGGCTCTCCTGGGTACCCGCCAGGAGCGGCTCCTGGCAGGGTGGCAGGGGGGCCAACATGGGCAGGGGACAACTGAGCTCTTCATCTCCGCAGAGTTCAAAGAAGCCTTCAGCCTCTTCGACCGGACGCCTACGGGAGCCATGCAGATCACGTACGCGCAGTGTGGAGACGTCCTGCGGGCGCTCGGCCACAACCCGACCAACGCGGAGGTCCTGAAGGTGCTGGGCAAACCCAAAACAGAAGGTGACAGCAACTGGGGCAGCAGGGAGAGGGTGGGATGAGCAGTAGTGAGATTCCCAGCGGGTGGGGGGCTCTGTTCCTGCAGGAACAGCTGCAGCGACATGAAGGAATTGAAGGGAAATGGCGCAGAGGAGCCTCATTCCTGTGTAATCCCTTCACGCCCCCTCCACGCACCACGCTGGGCCTGCAGTGGATGGACTGGCGGTGGCAGCAGTTGATGCCAACAGGCCAGATCCTGAGCTGGTGCAACCCAAGCTCCCCACACTGCAGCCCAGCAACGGGGTCTTTGCTGCAGTGAAAGCAAAGAGCGAATTCTTGCTCTCACACAGAGCAAATCTTCAGCTCTGTGCTGAGAACTTGCTTGAATTCCAGATGGGAAGAAGCCACCTGGCTCCCCCTGTGCCTCTGGAGCCATCTGAAGCTCTCAGAAGTCATCTCAGGCTTAAAAAATCTATATTTTTTATAACTCAGTCTGAATGGTTTTCATTTGCCTTCAGTTTGCTAGCTTGGAATTTGTGTCTTTAGCTCTCTATACTGGAGCTTATACCAGGAATAAACTCATATAAAGAACAGGAAAATCTCTTGCTTTCAGAAACCAAAAAGCAAACAGAAATTTAAAATTGCAGAGCTTGGGGCCAGGCAAAGTCACATTTGTGGGTGAGTAGCCAGGTTCTCAGGTCCTCCCAGGCAGTGGCCAGGAGCTTGCTCATTGCATCCAGGGAGAGAGAGAGCTGTGTCCCCCTCCATCCCTGTGTCCCTCTATCCGGAATAGGTTTTTGGTAGGAAGGGGAAGTAGAGGATGAACATGAGCCCATCTCCTCCTCCTCTTTCAGAAATGAGCACAAAGATGCTGGACTTCGAGGCCTTCCTGCCCATACTGCAGCACATCGCCCGCAACAAGGAGCAGGGCACCTTGGAGGACTTTGTGGAAGGGCTGCGCGTCTTCGACAAGGAGGGCAACGGCATGGTCATGGGGGCAGAGCTGCGCCACGTGCTGGCCACGCTGGGTATGGGCTGGCCCCAGCGGCCTGGGGACAGGCCACACGGGGAGGGAGGCAGCCAGGACAAGGCCACGAGGGAGCAGAGGCCACCGCCAGTTCCGCTTGGGCAGAGCCCTGGGAAGGGCTTGGGATAAGTTGACCATGAGGCAGCAGTGTGCTCTTGTGGCCAAGAAGGCCAATGGGATCCTGGGGTGCATTAAGAAGAG